ATTAGAGAAACGTTATAGTAAGACACAAGAACCATTAGAGAAACGTTACAGTAAAACACAAGAACCATTAGAGAAACGTTACAGCAAGACACAAGAACCATTAGGGAAACGTTACAGTAAGACACAAGAACCATTAGAGAAACGTTACAGTAAGACACAAGAACCATTAGAGAAACGTTATAGTAAGACACAAGAACCATTATAGAAACGTTATAGTATTAAGTAAATTGGTAGATAACTTTAGTCGATAATGTAATTCAGACAAGTAAAGTTGTTTTCTACCTCATAACCCTTTATGGGAAGTTTCTTACTAATATATTAATAATTTATTTGTTTGTATTTTTAACGCCTCTTTTATTTGCAGTATGACCAACCAATCTCGTACGGTTTTGGCTATGAAGTCCAAGGTGACGACGGTGGGGCACAGCAACGGCACGAGGAAGATGATGGCTACGGGAATAAGAAGGGTTCGTATAGCTATGTGGATCCGTACGGTATCACTCGTACTGTTGAGTACGTAGCTGACCAGTATGGTTTTCGTGCTAACGTGAAAACCAACGAGCCAGGGACAGCCAATCAGAGCCCTGCTGACGTGGGAGTTTATTCCAATAAACTCCCTGCCCACGTTATCCACAAGGCTTACGTAGGTCCTCAGTACGATGCCCCATCTTTCCCACTGATAAAGAAGGCGATAGGCCCTGCATATACATATAATCCCGTAGCGGTTGTGAAAGCCCCCGTTCCTGTCTACCATAGTTACCATTAAATAACCATCAACCATGTCTCAGGTTATGTAAATACACGATTCAGTCTTGCTTGGAGCTTAAATTCAAATTATTCATTCCAAATAAAAATTACAAAATTCATGTTAAATTATTTTCCAGTGTCTTTTTTATTTGTATCACGGTCTGCCTTTATATGTAATGTTGCCTTTATATGTAATGTTGCCTTTATATGTAATGTTGCCTCCAATGTTAACCACTTACTTCTGGTTTTACGACATGATTAAGTATTTCTATTGTTTAGCAGATTACTGCATTTATCTAGAGATGACTTAGTAAATTTGGTTTGATCTTATGTGCAATTTGTCGTAATAAAACTATTTCACACTACTGTTTATTCCTGTCTCTTTTTAAACAGAAGCGTCGGTGGTAAAATACTTGTCTGTTACGCTGTTGATCCGGGTATTTCACGAATATGAGATGACGAAACCTCCAAATTTAACAAAATGGTATTTTCTAAAGTTTATATTTTTGTTAAGCGCAAAACCCGATTTTTAACGTTATAGGTCCTTAGACATACCGCTAAGCTATCGGGGCATTAAAAAAAAGTATTTGTGTTTTATATTTGTGGCAAGGCTACTAAGACTATCCGCCGTCGTCCTTAGTTATGAACTAGTGACCAGACGGAAAGCAGCCAATCAGCAGCACCCTAACACCCACTTTAACTGATTAACTGTCACTCTTATAATGCACACCCTTAAAGTACAAGAAACACTTTGTGATATCGTCCCACGGATCTGAAATGAACTCGGTATCCAGAGCTCTACTTCAGTGTTAACTCGCTTCCTTTGTCAAGTTACCGAAGTTTACTGAAAGTTCAGGTGATCTTACTTCAATGGTTTCCTTAAAACTAATACATGATATATTCTATAAACCTTTTCAATGAACGTAGCTAGTAGACCGTAAACTGTTAGTTGTATCATCGTTTTAGAACACCAGATTGCTCCTTAGTTTGCTTTTAAAACCTTCAGTTCGTATTGTGAGATCTTTAAGTGATGATATGCTTGGGAGAACCCAAAGCTTATGTTGTGTTTCTGTTGTTGTTAGTTTAAATTAAATTGTTTACTTTTTTTCTTCGTTTTACTTTTCGTTTTTTGTATTGTGTTCAAAACACTTCAGAAAGTATTCATTTCTCGAAATTAAATTTCAGAAAAACCAATGGTCATTCAGTTCAAATGATTGTTTATCTTCTTTAAAGAAAGGGTTATTAGATGATGCGAGGTTGTCGGGTTCGAGTTCCGGTTGATCTATTAGTTTATTGAAACAATATATATACATCGTAAGTTATTCTTTTCGAATATACTTTTAAAAATTAGCACTTATTAGGCCGGGAATCGAACCCGAGCCACTTGCGTGACAGGTGAGTATTCTACCACTGAACCACCGATGCTACTATATCGCTACTGTTCCTCTGTGATTTACTTATACAAGTTTTTTCAACGTGCCCGTTATTTAACTTGTTAAGAACCGTGACTACCCCTGTAAGTTTGCTTTATTACTGACCGCCACGTCATATTACCTGCTTGTTTTCCAGACTAAATATACTAGGTTAAGTGTTTACCTTATCAGAGGAAAACGTGTTTGGTTTTAATTATATTAAATACAGGTAAAAAATTTACCTTTGAACAGGTAAAAAATTCCACCTTTTTCACTTCAGAATTTGAATCCAGGGGTTTATCTTCGGCAGACTTTGTACATAATCCTGGATTATATTAAATAGCCCCCTCCCAGTAGCACAGCGGACCACAACGCTAGAATCCGGGTTTCGATACCCGTGGTAGGGGGAGCACAGATAGCCCATTGTGTAGCTTTGTGCTTAATTGCAATCAAAATCTATTATATAACATTATTAATTTGTTTAATTTTTTTTTTACTTGAGGTAATATCAAAAAGCATTAAGTATTTAAAATAGATCTCTAGTAATATAGAACTGCGTAATCAATTGTTATGGTGTAAACCCCCTTTATAATTAATCATACTTGTCATAAAACATCATTTTAGGCCTATTGTGAAGTGGCTGCATGACGTAATAACAGATTTACCCTAACTACCGACCAAATTATGACGGAGATCTAACGTGAGCTTCCTATACGACATTGAAGAATTAAACCAAGGGGGGGGGGGGTCCTATAACACATTGAAGAATTAAACCAAGGGGGTCCTATAACACATTGAAGAATTAAAACAAGGGGGGGTCCTATAACACATT